TTATTTCATGTTAGTGGTGATTACTGATACTGTGTATCGACTTATGTTTTTGCTGTATGTGATAGGCGAACTATTTCAAAATTTACTGTAATTGTTTTGTTACGAAAGATTATCAGCAGACTACCCCTGTCTGTGACATCACATCCGGTGACCTTTGCACTTATTGAAATTGTGCTGTCAGAATTCACGATCTTTATTTTCGTTTTTCTCTCATCATATTAATCGGAATATGACAAATAAAACATTCTTCGATTGAGAAGATCGTCAACTTTCGCCAAGTTATATTTATAAAGACAATGTAAACTTTATTGATATTAAAATAGCAATAAGTTATGCGGAGGTCGGGCGAAGCGCGCCATGTTTGATTTTAAGACGTCTGCTAGCATCATGACAAAACGGTTGAAATTAGGATTAGTGAATATTTATAAGTCATTAATTGTTTCCTGCAAATTTTATAACATGACACGTCAGATTAACCCGAATATTCGTATTTCTGCAACCGACATGATGACCTCGAAAATTAAGTTATTTTTCTGTTTAACGTTTAGATAATAAATTTACTGAAATGGTTCATGATTTACCATAGCGCTGTTATATGCCGATAAAAAAAAACGAATTTTTACTCAATTAAAATTAGGATATCGGAGATATGATTATTGAAATCAATTTGCACAAATGTTACGATATTAAAATTTTCCTAGCATGAAATGCAAACCACCTTCAATAACACAATTCAGGTAAGTTCAAGAAAATTTACAAATTTTGTGTTCGCTTTGATTGAAAACACCGGGATATTTTTATATAGTATTGTGTAGTTTTCTATCAGGAATAAATGTGCAAAATATTTCTTCAATTGGCCCTTGTTTAATGAGGCACCGACTGTTTGAAATCACCCACCCTCTTTACAGTGCCTTATGCTAAAATTAATCCAGCAGGCAGGGTAAGAAGTGTGAAAATAATTCAGCAGGCTAAAGGCTAAACGTTCCAGGTATGCAAAACATGTGCCTCATAAAATTCCCCTCATGAATGCATCTCATACGGCAAAGAGAGTTGAGTGGTGCAATGACATGAAAGGAAAGAACTTTCACAGATGAACCAGAGTTCCACTTCTTTTGGATTCCAAGAAAAAGACAGCCAAGGGATGGAAAGTGTTAAAAAATGGTTCCTAAGTTCTCAGTGGGCATCCTAGATTCAAATAACACCCAAAGTGTAATTCCCTTTCAACCTCAACATGTTAACACCTCTTTTTACACCTTGCAATTCACCCTTACCTGGCTTCACAGCAAAAAACATAATATTGAAATTTCTTTGCAGCTTCGCCAGATCTAAACCCAATTGAAAATGACAGTTTGATAGACAGCATGGAGCATCATATCCAACAGTGTCTGGACAGTAATGCAGCAGTTACTGACTAGTGATGATATTTTAAATAACTTATAAGACAATAGTTGTATACAAGCGTGTGCAAAATCTGAGAACAAAATTTGTATTATTGATTAAATTATTGAATCTTGAAACTGTCACATTTATTCTGCCCATTGCTATACAACATGAGTATTTGTAGGAATATCACAAGGACTGAAGCTATCACTGCTGGAATCTATGTCAACTATTTGAACAGCACACAAATATTTACTCCAGATCCAAGTAGGTGTGGTTTCTTGGATGTATGTCCCCCTCACAAGCTTGTTCACTCCAATGTGTCTGAGACAGATTTGACCTTTCCTGGCAAGCATGATCATGAGCAGATGTGTTGTGGGTGCCGGCAAACAAAGGACGCCTGGGAGGAACATCCCAGCCCACAGTGAGACAGGGAAGTGTGATGCAGGTCCATACAGCCAAATGATTCCACATCATACAGGCATCCCGTAAAACAACACACAACACAGGACATCAGCATGATCAGTGGGGATCTACCCCAGAGCAGCTACACATTTCTGTGTAAGACATTGTCTCTATATAATAAACTAAGATTGAACTGGATAATGAAACATGTGAGTAGAAGAGGTTACAAGGAAGATTGTTGCTCAATTCACAAAACTGCAATTAGCTTAGGCTAGACTTTTCTCCATCATCAATGTATAGGTTCGATCACCTATAGAGCTAATGATCAAAATATAGTGTCTTATCTACATGTGGTCATTTAACATCAACAAGGTTTACAGTTTTTCCTGGCAATAAATCTACCAGATACAAATAGAGTCAAACTATCAGACTACTGACAGGGACCTGGGCCCACTTGCATAAAGTGACCTTTGCGCTACAACTATCATATGCCTATGTTAAGGTAAGGAAGTAACGATAACCTTAACACTAAGAGCTCTTTGTGCAAGTGCACCCTGGAGAAGTAGCCCCAATAGGTGGATGTTTTATTGATGTGTCCCTGTGGTAGATGATGCATAGGAATTGCTTCTGCTCTGATAACACCGGAGGTGAAGATACACCGTACATCATTTAAAAATTGTCTGTGCCAACACCAGGTAGAGAAACAGATTGAAATCTGATGACAATGAAAGTAGAGACAGCCCTGCAGACACATGTCTTCCATAATGTGGACAAATGATGACAGAGCGCCCCTACTACATCACTTCCAGCACCTCTAGGCTGGTGTCTGCAGTGGCAGTTCAGTATGATGGTACTAACACGGTCATCACTCCCTACAATAAGGTTCACTTGACCATAACCATTTACACGCCATCCCAAAGTTCCTACATCACAATATCATAATTAGTAAAGATTATTAAACACTTGTTTGCTGACTGAGATGAAATATACCATGTATACCAGCATATCTCAGGGTATTCACTGGAAGGAAGACATACATCCAATCATGCATGAGCTTCAGTCTGGAAATGTTTGCATGTCATTTTATCAATCTGGTTACAAACTCTGACCTAGACCTCTTCCCTACAAAGCTCTATGGATCAGAGTGTGTGATAACACAGCTTAGCTGATCCTGGCCTGACCCACAAATCAATGGTTTTGACTACTCACAGTATCAACATGATTAAATCTGTCTCTACCACATATTATCTTGGTCCAAGCAAACCCCTCATAACCCGTGTAGTATTATCTGTTGAAGCAGACCATTTGGATATTGTATGACCATGGCTCAAGCAACTTCAATAGAGCAGTTTTACACCTGTATTAATACCTGAATAAATAAAGGAATACAGCTTTGCTTAGTTCCAACATATTGCTCACACTGTTCCTGCATGACACACTCAGTCCTGATCTCACACGCCACTGTCACACAGTTGTCACACACCCCTGTCACACATTGCTCTCACATACCATTGTCGCACACCACTGTCACACACTGTTGTCACACCCAATGTCACAAGCCCCATTACACTCTGCTGTCACACACCTGTCACACACACTGTCACACACTGCTGTCACATACCGCACACCAATGTCAAATTCTTGTCACACTGCGGTCACAAACCACTGTCACACAGTCACACACTGCTGTCCCACACCGCACACCAATGTAAAACTCTTGTCACACACTGCTGTCACACACCGCTGTCACAAACCACTGTCACACAGTCACACATCACTGTCACACACAGTCACACACTGCTGTCACATGAGGTGTCACAAACCACTGTCAAACACTGCTGTCACAAATCACTGTCAAACACTGCTGTCACAAACCAGTCACACAGTCACACACCACTGTCACAGTCACACACTGCTGTCACACACCGCACACCACTGTAAAACTCTTCTGTCACACGCTGTCATAAACCACTGTCACACACAGTCACACACTGCTATCACACACTGCTGTCACACACTGTCACACAAACTGTCACAAAACACTGTCAACACTGCTGTGACAAACCACTCACACAGTCACAAACGGTCGTGACACACCAGTGTCACACACTGCTGTCACACACCATTGTCACAAACCACTGTCACAGACAGTCACACACTGCTGTCACAAATCAGTCACACACTGCTGTCACAAACCACTGTCACATACACTGTCACACACTGCTGTCACACACCGCTGTCACACACCGCCACAAACCAGTGTCATATCCTGCTGTCACACACCACACACCACTGTCACACAGTCACAAACCATTGTCATACACTGCTGTCACACACCGCCTGTCACACACCGTTACACACTGCAATCACTGTCACACACAACTTTTACACACCGCTGTCAGTCACATACTGCTGTCACAAACCGCTGTCACACACCACTGTCACACCCTGCTGTCACACGCTTTACACCATTGTCACACACTGCTGTCACAAACCACTGTTACACACTGCTTTCACAAACTGCTGTCACAAACCGCTGTCACACATCACTGTCACACCCTGCTGTCACACACTTTACACCACTTTCACAAACTGCAGTCACATACCACTGTCACACACTGTCACACACTGCTATCACTGTCACACACCACTGTCACACACTGTTACACCCTGCTGTCACAGTCACATACTGCAGTCATGCACTGAAGTCACACACCGCCTGTCACTTCCTGCACAAAGCTGTCACACAGGGCTGTCACAAACCACTGTCACACACAGTCACAAACCACTGTCACTACCCCGCAGTCACACACTGTAACGCACTGCTCTGAAGCACTGCTGTCACACACCAATTTCACACACCAATGTCACAGGCCGCTGTCACGCTATGGGTGTCCTGCAGTGTGGTCCTGCTATGGGTGTCATGCATGAACAACTTATCATGTGTATGTGGCGCTAAGACAATTGTCTATGGTAGGCCTGTTTCTTGGGGTAGTCACCATCACAGGAGCTGTTGGGCGAGGCATAAGTAAAGGGAACAACCCTTCTGAAAATGTTTCAATTATGATTCAGACATTGAGTAGAACAATTCTCAGGGATGGCTCTGTCATACCATAATATGATCCATAAACACAAGATTTGTGATGGTCCTGTTGGCCATTCATTGTTTTCAGAGTAATTCTACAGGGAGAAAAAAATAGTCTCAAAGATGTTACCTTTCTCAACAAGGTCCTTGTCTTCTCTGTTTTCACGTAGTTCTCTTATCCTGGTTCTAAGTTTTCGTCTTTCTACAAATTCTGAGGATCTCAATAGCTGAAATAAACACATATCACTGTCAAAACCTTCAAGACAACTCACTTCAGCACATCTCAACCAACCCTACAGAACAAGTCACTACAGGACCACTCACTACAGGACAACTCACTACGGGACAACCAACTACAGGATAATTAACTACAGGACAACCCACTACAGGACAACTCACTACAGGACAACCCACTACAGAACAACCAAATACAGGACAGCACACTACAGGACAACTCACTACAGGACAAATCACTACAGGACAACTCACTAGAGGACAACTCATTACAGGACAACTCAATATAGGACAAATCACTACAGGACAACTTATTACAGGACAACTCACTACAGGTCAACTCACTACAGGACAACTCACTACAGGACAACTCACTACAGGACAACTCACTACAGGACAACTCACTACAGGACAACCCACTACACTGTGTTGAATAGGAGGCCAAATCAGTTGAAAGATTGTTTGTTGGGCAAATATTAGATAACATTTAATCACAGAAATAGCGGTTCTCAAGTGAGGGGTTATTGGCATGGTTCAGGTCCCGGGATTTGACTAAACATTTTATTTAGCAAGCCTTGGCAAAATACATAGTGTTAATTCCTAATAGAGGATATTTACCATCTCAAACTCACAAGCATGATAACTATATCATATGTCATTCTTTAAGTCTGCCTTTGAAATAACCTGTTCTCATCTCTCACAAACATTATCTAAACATCGCCAGTTTTCCTGGAAGTGTGCATTGGTATGTCTTTAGGACCCTATTGTAACAAATAGTTTCCTTTCCACTGATCCTGACTTAGACCTGGAAGACATTAATTACAGTAACAATTAACTTGTTTCCATGTATACCCTTACTGTTGTAGACAAGTAACAAAGATGTCATCTTGTACTACTTCAAAACGCATATTAAAGAATTAATGATGTAAATGTTTACCTATTTGGTAACCTCAAGAATGCAGACTAGATTTATCTTTCATTAGCTTACCAGGTATTGCAGGTATTCCTCAGATTTGCAGTTTTCTATAACAGAGTCATTTATCACCAAAGCACTTGCAGCGGTCTTCTGTTTTATGTTGTTATCTGCCCCCGGTATAGAGGTGTAGGAGGCACTGCGCCATCGAGGGATGTTGTCACTGCTTCTGGTGAGATCATCAGAGCTGAGTGACACTGACCTGGCACTGCTCACACAAGCACTGCTCACCTCCTGGAGAGGAGTTGCCAACCCCTCTGATGCAAGGTCGGTGAGGGCATTGGAAACACCGTTCCTGAAGTTAACACTGCTCGAGGTCTGTGGTGGAGTTGAATGGATATTTAAAACATTTTTTCTTAACACCACAGAGTTTAATGACTCTCGAATATGAACGAGAATTCTGCTGGCATTACTATGTTTGTCATGTCCTGCTTTGATGATTGGATGGTGCGACTCCACCCTGGAGGTGTGACTAGATACACAGTCTGTGGATGGCCCGACAGAGACTACACTGCTTGGACACAAGATGCTGGCAGATGTAGAGAGATGTGAGCTCCTCAGTTGAGTTACACTGTTACCATCTGCAGAGGATGCAGCATATGATCTGGAATTTGGATTGCTGTTGCTATTTGAGGTAGATGAATGAAAACTCCTCGGCGGCAATACCTCTGTTCTAGTGTCTGTTGTGCCTCCAGAGGAATACCTAGAACTGTATCTATCCACACCGTTTCTCCCCTCTGAGCTTGATAAGTGTCCACTGTGCCTGGGCACTCTATTGCTATCCCCTGATGGTGTCCAGGAATCCCCACTGCTGGACCTAGTTGTGCCATCACTTGAAGATGTACCGCAGTGGTAGCTCCTGCGTTGGGAAATGCTGTTGAAGTTGTCACTGGATGTCCTGTGAAGACCTAGACTGGGTCGAGCTACACCAGTCCCTGCATCCTTATTGTCTAATGCACTTGAGACAAATGGTTTGACAGAGAAACTGTGAGATTTCACTGCCCCATCTTTCAGCTGGCGAATGGCAGCTCGTATCTTTCTCCTCTCTTCAAAACTAGTACAAGCATCCAACTGAAACAGGACAAAATAACACTAGAATAAAATTGCAACAGAATAACTATTTAATAACTCCTGAACATGCTTAATGCACTGTTTATGGTAATCATCCTTAATCAAACTATTTCCCATGGAATCTAAGAATAATAATCCTATGTATTGCCCATAATCAATTGAAATCCAACTTACACTACTGTACCTGTCTCCCCTACTCCCCACTCACATACACCACTGTACCTGTCTCCCCTACTCACATACACCATTGTACCTGTCTCCGTCACTCACATACACCACTGTACCTGTCTCCCCCACTCCCCACTCACATACACTACTGTACCTGTCTCCCCCACTCACATACACCTCTGTACCTGTCTCCGCAACTCACATACACCACTGTACCTGTCTCCCCCACTCACATACACCACTGTACCTGTCTCCCCCACTCACATACACCACTGTACCTGTCTCCCCCACTCCCCACTCACATACACCACTGTACCTGTCTCCCCAGCCACATACACCACTGTACCTGTCTCTCCACTCCCCACTCCCCCAAGTATCCTTTGTGCACTGGGACAAATATGCCTTCATGCTCACCAGTGTATTGTTTCTGTCATCTGGATGGCATTGTCGATGTCATTTAAAACTTACTGTGATGTAACACCACACTAGAAACGATGTCATAGGTGAAGATTGTTGACATCATTCAACAATTGTGGAAATCTACAACAGCAGTCGTGATCAGTGCATTTATTTAAAGGGGAGCTCAAAAGTAGGGCTGCAGTGATACAGGAAGGTCACGATACAATACGTATCTTGATATTCTGGTCACTATACGATACCTTACTCAATACTCAACGATAAAAACAAACAACAGTACTTCAGCATTTATTAAGTTTCAATACTTTAAGCATGTCAAGATTGGACCTTTCATGATTTTGGAACTGTCAAAATTATTTCATAATAACAAGACTACTGAAGTTGTTTAGCTTTCCTTCAAAACACTTCAAATTTCAAAACAACAGAAAACTTCAAAGTTCAAACAGCAGAAAATAATCAATGTACTTCACAGTCTGAATAGTTCAGCTTCAGGTTCTTTTTCAGAAAAATTAAAATGTAAACCTTGTAAAGTGATAGTCACGGATGGGTACTGTCTCCTGCTGTTGAGGGGCGGTCGGGTAGCCTAGTGGTTAAAGCGTTCGCTCGTCACGCCGAAGACCCGGGTTCGATTCCCGACATGGGTACAATGTGTGAAGCCCATTTCTGGTGTCCCCCGCCGTGATATTGCTGGAATATTGCTAAAAGCGGCGTAAAACCATACTCACTCACTCACTCACTCCTGCTGTTGAGTCTTAACGGAGGTGGAGCCATAGGGGTAGATGACCAACACAACACATGCTCTGCCTACCTAACACGATCTACTATGTACATTTCAGAGTTTCGTAAAAGATTGGAATTGTAGTTGTTTATGATTCATAGTGTGAAAAAAGATTTATCGAGTGTTATGCACTATAAAAAAACACATCGTATCCCTTCCATGAATTCATGTGAACGAACAGGTATAACACACTTGGTAAATAAAACATCACTAAACACGATGATTTGCCATTGAAATTGTATTTTTTCTCTCATAGGCATTGTTTTATATGCAGAGATTAAGATTACCGTGTGTATTTTCTTGTAAACTAAGCTGAGAATAGCAATCAGCTGTACACACATTTCTCCCAATCTACCGGCGATTCAGTTAAAAAGTACCCAATGATAAAACTTGAAAATGGAATGTTGCAATGGTTGGAAGAAAGTGTTTCTGAAATTATTGTTTTATCAGGAATAATATCGTCCAAAATCGTGTTACTTTAGTTGCAGCTTTTACTATATATATTTAAAATTATAAGAACCATAAGCACTGCAGTTTGATACAGGTGATTGCTATGGCAGGACATTTTTACGTATGGAACAATTTGACCAGTCACCGTAGGGATTTTCCGCGCTACATGTATTTCAATTGCGAAAACATTATGTTGACATATAATAGTCAAATTGCCACAAATATGACATTTAACGAAATGTAAAATGTAAGTAAGTTTTGGGAGCCATGCTTAACCCCACGCTATAACTAAGTTAGCGCTTTATTGAAGGGTGCAATAGTGAGGAACACTGTACTTAAGATTAGCATTCCGTATCATGGCGTATCTATAAACAGGCCCACGTGTATTATGTATCATATCATGGGACAAGTATCGCGATGCGTCAGAATATTTAAGATTAAAAAATAATGGGTAATAAAGAAATTAATACATGACACTTGTGTAAATTCATGTATTACCCTCACTTTGCCCAGGAAATGCAAAAATTCTGACACGTTTTGTAAAATCATTATGATACACAATACACATGCTTGTATAATAACCTCTTCCGCCAGGCTTTTTCCCAGAAGAACATACCCCTGGTGCAGGAAGTACATACAGTACGGTATTCCTTGGTATGGGGAAATCAGTCGTCTCAATAGTACACAGTGTACAGCTATCACCAATCACTTTAATAACAAGCCAAACATAAATAACGTATGGACGCATGCACACACGCACACACGTGCGCATATAATATTAGTGCAAAAGTCTTTGGTGCAGCGTTTTTTCACCTTTTTTAAAAAAAAAATGTCATGGAATGGTTGACCATATTGAGGTGGGAAAAGAGCTGGTTAAGAATTCTCTCATTCTCGCAATTATGCTTCTTAAAATAAACAATGGTTCAATGCAATGATTTTCTTCCCCCCACCAACACTTTCACTGCTAAGGAAATCAGGGCATTGTCTACCTGCCTTACTTCAGGGAAAGCAGTCTCAGTATGTGTAAAACAAGTTGTCTCCAGTTGTCAGGGGCACACCCATCATCAAGCAGTTCCCCACCTTACAGTCTTGGAGGGCAGGCTAACCTGTGACTACCTGATGTCTTCCAGGTGTAGGACAGGTCATACTCATGGGAATAATGTCGAGGCCATCGGAAGTGAAGTTATAACCAAACGTGACTTCATCAGAAGCAGAGGGGATGTAATAGATGGTCAATGTCTGGAAGGTCGCATGGGACAAAGGCTGCTAGGAATCAATTGAGGATGTCACAATTGGGGAATTGGACACACATGTAGCAGTAATTCTAGGGACAATTACAACATATTTGTATATGTCCTTGACATTATTCCGAAAACAGGCCTTTAGAGGTGATTTCAGGTTATGTGCACCAAATACTGGTCAGCACCCCCAAAATACTGGATTTATGGAAAAGACCTAATTTTTCGATAAATCACTGAGTTAGGGTTATTTTCTGTTTAAATTCAGCAGACTGTTTACTGTCTAGTGTATTATCCTTCCCTCGGGTATATTTTGGCACTGATGTAATAGACATTGTGTAGTCATAAGAATTACCAATAATATAGATATATACAGGGGACAAGGGAATGTGGAGCCTCAGACATATCAGGCCACTTGGCAACCCATGCAGACTTTGATTTCCAAGCACTTCATGCATTATCACATTATGTCTATTCAACCAGAATAAGCTTTATAAATAGACCAATATTTAATGGAATAACTCCATTTGTGAATGAAGTGTATGTCCCTCCCAATTGTGGCTCTAAATACAACAGTTAGATGCTGCTGCCCGATGTCTCTGTAGCAAGCATAAAATATCCGAATCCCATGATAGGATTCGAACCACAGACCTGTTCTGAGGTCGGACGCCTTATGCACATGACCAAAGAGGACTACCCCATCAGCAAGCTCACAAGGTAAGGATGTCATTAGCGGGATGACTCCACGCCCTGCTGCATACTCCGTCAACAGAAGGCACTTCTGGGGCCGCATTGGGAGACTTATTTTACTCAAGTTCTATATGATCATGCTCAGCCCCACATCGGGTGCCACTGTAGCAGTCATAAAATGTCCGAGTCCAGTGATAGGATTTGAACCTTGGTCCTTTTGATCTGAGGTCAGACGCCTTGTCCACATGACCAAAGAGGTCAACCCCGTCAACAAGCTGACTAGGTGGGATGACTCCACACCCTGCTTCATCTCCATCATGGTCTACAGAGTGACCTCCCTTTCCCAAGCCCACACAGACAGCAACAGCAGCCACTGTTGTTGCAATACAGGGAGAGAGAGAGAATAATGTTTATTATAGTGTCACATGATATATACACTTCATACTAAAACACGTACACAAACAATACAATATAACATCCGACCAGGTATGGCCTACGAGACACTTAGACATAAAAGCAAATTATAACGTCATGATCTGGATAAGGTAGATAAACACATATTCTAACACAATGTTTAAAGTTAAGATTGGGTTATGAACATGCATGCACGCACACGCAGACACACACGCCAAATTACTTATAAAGTCATGCACACAATCATACACAAACACTTAAACACTGACACACCCACCCAAACCCCACCACACACCATACCGCACGCACTCACGCACACACACACCATACGTACATTATACGCCCCCCCACACACACACACAAACGCAGGCATGCACTCACCATACGTACATTATATCACACACACACACACACACACACGCACACGCACGCACGCACGCACACACACCCACGCACACACGCAAACACCATACGTACATTATATGCCCCCAGACACACACACACGCACGCACACACACCATACGTACATTATATGCCCCCCCACACACACACACACATCCAACACAGAGGTGCATTTATCCTCACCGACACTCAACATAAACAGTACAAGTATAACATTGATCACAAGTAGAAATACTACTATTCGCAAACATAATAGCATACATGCAGAAAAGCGCAAACAGCATTAAATGAGTGACAAGCGTCTTTGGAACATTTGATCAATTAGCTTACAAAGAGTATAACACCCGTGTTCACATCTGAGTAATGTTATAAATTTCTCGGTTGAAGATAAGTTCATGAAATCTGGCATACATTCACACATAGCGTTCATTACATCATAACGT